TCTCACTGAAGAGCCCCAGGCAAGGAACAGGACCCTTTTGTGCTATGGGCTGTGCATACCCAGATCAAAACGGTGATCCTTGACCCCAAGAAATTAAGCATTGCAAATGCATGCATATTGCTAGCTAAAATATGACACCTTCCAGACTTGCAACCAGCTGAACTGTAATTTCTGACATGAGACCTCATTCATATTTAGGACAGAGGCATAGTGAATAAACTCAACAGAGCTGAAGAGATGGACTTAATTAATAGATTATCATTCTTTTAATTGAAAGAGCTGGTGATTTGGTCCCAAGTGGACAAACAAGGTTTTGGTGCTTGGATATCACGATGATGATTTGTTCCTTTTACCAGAGGGAAGCATTTGTGCTGCTGCTCATCACATTCAGCTTTCCTTTTCTTTTAAATTAACTATTAGCTCGTGATGCTGGCACGTATAGCTTAGAACATAATTAGGATCTTCTTTTTTTTTTCTTTCTTTTTTTTTTCCTCCTTTTTATGACATTTACAGAGCATTGCATTTTTTAATTGTCCACTACTGACTATGGCAATAATCCCCTCCAAGAGAACAAATAATTAAAAAGCAATGTAATAAGAGAACTGCTGTGTCTACCAGTTACGATGGAAACACTTTGAATCATCTGTTTCCCCAAATGTATTCAATCCGTAACTTATTAAAGATCAGCACAGACCCTTTCTTAGCCACTCCAAATGAAAATGACAAAACTTTACATTTGTAACAGCTGCCGTAGAAATGCTGCATTCCATCGCCCTAATGTGAGTTTGGGAAAAGACAAAAATAATTTGCTCTGCTGCTGGGAGCCATTATAAATGAGGAAGATTACCTTTGGCTCCTGTCAGAAGTGTGAGTATTTTGGATTAGGATAGAATGTCATGGGCACCGTGCAGAATTTGACAGTGGCCAGTCACAAATAATTAACGTTACCATGGCATTGCCCATATGATGCCATAGTGAAGTTAATTGTATATGCAGTGGCAACACGGTAGCGATCTTGAAGGTAACTGCTGTAGAAGAAATATTGGTGAGGAATTAAAAGAAATTTGGGAGCAAACCTCTTTAAAAAAAAAAAATTCCAAAACGTGGTTGAGGCTTAGCAATAAAAATAAAATCAAGAAAATTTTGCCTTCTAGTTTTTCTTTTACTGAATATAAGAGTAATTTGCTTGATGTAGGATAGTGAGCTTGTAGGCTGTGTTACTGAAGCCCTGAATTATGGGGACTACATCATCTGCCAGAGCCCTTGAAGCTGGCAGCCCTGGATGGATCCTGCCATCCCAGAACTGTCTTCAGCAAGAAGAGGGGGAGAGCACTGCCCCTGCGATCTGCTCCTCTCATAGCTGTCCCAGATGATAAAGAAGCCAGGTGAGGACTTGAAAAAGGACAAACTGTGAGCACTGGCAGCCGGCAGATCTGGCAACAAACTGAGGTGGCCTTGGAGGGGACATCCAGCTGTCAAGCCGGTGTCAGCATCCTGTGCGACTGGAAAGATCACAAATACTTCTTGGCAAAAGGGCTGCAAACTGACTGTGCAGCTGGGGACGTTTCCAGTTCCATTTCTTTGTAGGCACAGCTTCACAACTCTGAAGAGTGACTCTGTATGTTTAGCTGACCTTAGTCAACCTGATCTTTCAAACTTCTTTCCCATCCCTTCCCTCCCTCTTCATTGCTTGTCAGTATATTCATTACATTACAAAGATGGGAAGTCTGAATGCATCAAGCTTTGGTGCCTGCTCTCCTCCTTCTTTTATCTTGCATTCTTTAATGTTTGTGAGTCTCTGTGTTGTCTGTGATGGGAGAACATCCATTACTGTAATATGGAGCAGAGACCCGCACTCGTACTTCACTGTTGGAATTAGCACTGCACAGTTTCTGGTAAGAAAAAGGACCTGGGAGCAAATGCAGTGCTGGGTTGTCTTAGGGCTCATTTTTGATGGCTTTGGGTTTTTTTTTCACTTTCTTTCATTTTCATTCTGCAGTGTGGCTGCTTGCTCTGTCTGCTGTACCATCTTCCCAGTTGGCTTTTTCCAGTGTTAAAAATGATGCTGTATTCTCCTATTCTGTACTTGTAGTTCCTGATCATTTTTGATCCGTCTCTTCACTGCTTTATATCTGTACATGTTAAATCTCCTTTCCTTAACTCACTCATCTCTCTGGCATTTTTTGTTGCTGCTATGCTTTCTGTTCTGAAACATTCTCCATTCCATTCCCTTATGTCATGTTCTTGTTTTATTGAACACCCCAGTTTAGTCATTTTATTAGTCAATATATGATAATGGTGGGAGCAGCAATGATCTGGGTCCAGTCTTGCCACTGTTCCATAAATCAGAACTATAACCCACTTGTGATGGACCCTTTTGGGGGTACTGACAACCGGTAATGGTACTAAGTTGTGGCTTCTTGCTTTGTAGTACATGGTCTGGATGGCATGTCTTCAGTGTTATCCAGCAGCCTTGCAACTCAGACACTGCTCTGAATGCGGATTGTTGCAGTGTTTACACAGCTGCTCACAAAGCTATAGCCTTGAACCAAAACTTATTCCCCATAGCTGATTGAGGAGTACTAATTGGCTGATACACAGTATGAGTGTTAAAAAATCCCCCTTTATAGGCTCTGAGCAGGTGAACTGGTGTGCTCCTAGGGTATCAGTTCCAGCTTTCAGAGGAGTCACTTACAGAGCAGTAGATGCTGCCTGAATTCATACCAGAGCAGAACTCTGGGCAGCCCATACGAAATAAATAAGGTAGGCCCTTGTTCCTTCTTCCTTTCTTGTGTGGGTGTGTAACTCAGGTCAAAGTCATATTTCTGGGGAAGAGAAGATCATCAGCTGGCATTCTGCGTGCACCAAGTCTGGTTGACGTCAGTGAAGCTCTGCCTGTTTCTGCTAGCACTGATTTTGACCCATTTTATTCAGTGTATGTTATATATCTTGGTACAAATGATGAAGCAGTGGCTTGACACAATCAGTGATTCATAGTGGCAGACATCTCTGCAGTCCTCAGAGGATGTTTAGATCTTTCCAGAGGCATGCTTCACTGAGGAACCACCTTGTTTTCAGCCCACAGTCATCCGGAAATGGCCAGCTGGAGCTGGGAGGTTCAGGCATTCCCTCTGGGCACTGTAAATCCCAACACCTACTTGTGAGCATGCTTTGTCTTAGTTGTAGGTTAAAGGAGAGCACAGATATCTCTAGTATCCTGTACTATGGGGGTAGCAAGTACCAAATGCTGTGTAGCTCTTGTGCCAGAAATGTGCCATACAGCGTGAACATGTAGAAGCAGCAATTGCTCCTGTGGATCGCTGTGTTATCGAGCTCAGCCCTGCATATCTGTACTGGCTTTTCTTTTTCCTTAAAAATTGCTCAAAAAACATCTGTGCAACAAACAGCACTGTTATGGTTTTCTTTGTTCATCTCCTTTGTAGGCATATTACTTCTGCAGATCTGGTTGCTGTTGTTACAGTGGTATTATTGTGGTTGTGTGTTGTATGGCATGCTGTTGTGATGAAGTGTCATTCTGTTTTTTCCCCCCAAATAATGGTACTCCAAGCTTGCTTCATTTGCTTTTGTAGGACATCGACTTTTCAGCAGATAAAGCCAAAACTGAGCGTGTAAAGTGAACAGCACCAAAATATCCACTGGCTTCCAATCCAGTCACAGCCCAGCAAGGCAAAGAGCAAGCTCAGGCCCAGATGCCAGCTTCAGTTCTTAGCCCTGCAGAAGCTTTGATCAAAATACTTTGTATTTCCAGTTTAATTTTCTTTCCTCTGCTGAAAGAAGAACAGTACCTGTTAATACATACCACTGCTTCTATATAGAGTATTATTTGCATATTGCTGTTAAATATTAAGCAGTCTTATATATTTTATAAAGCACCGATACAGTACTTTGAAGAAGAAAATTAAATGATAATGATGTTCTGTTTATATACTTTTTTATTCTCTCCATTTTTTTTCATGTGAAATAGAAAACAAGTGCTTGCTGTCTATCTGCAGTTTTCACTTTTGATCTTGATTTTGTTTTTCATTCATAAGTAGCCCCTTGTTTTCTGACCTGGTGTCACTGAAGAATCAAAGTGTTGTTTTTCCAGTTCTTTATCCAACTTCACACCAAAAGCACTGTGGATTTGGACTCCACCCTGTACCCAGACACTCTTCAGCATGAAAGAAAAGCAAATCTGTCTTTTAATAAGATGAAACCGAGTTAAGTAAACATCAGATTTGAATTGCCTGCTCTCTCTGGAGCTGTAGATTCACATCTTGGCTAAATAACTCCTAGCCCTTCATCCATTTGAAATGGAGATCTTGAGCAGCTTACAGCTTGTGGATCTTTTGAATAAGATCTGAAAAGAGTGATATCTCGTTTGTTATGCACAGCCAGTGGGGATGCATGATATTTTGCCACAGTTACCTGGCAAAAATGCTTTTCTCTTTCCTGATCACACGGTGCCCTACTTGTCTGCAGGACTTGCGTTTTCTGCTCTGCAGAGGCACCTCTGTTTCTGGGGCTGTGCTTGTAAGACACTTGAAGGTGTTTGGAATGATGTTGTTTTCTCTTTGTTGTATTGTCAATGATGATACATCCATTTGATGTTAGTTCAAAGCTAACTGAAGCCACTGAAACTTTTCAGTAACTGAGGGGACTGGATCACCTCACCATGCAGAGGGAGAACTTGCAGTGAGAACGTGCTGTGTGTTAATTCCAGAGGGGAAAAAAATCAAGTGAAAGCGCTCTTTTTTTTTCCCAACAAAAAAAAAAGAAAATATGTAATTTGTCCCATGAAAGATAGACCAAGGGCAGTCTCCATTAGCATGCATTAGCATTTCCCATTCAGCACTTTCCTTGGGCATAGAGGTCAAAGGAGAATGAATGGTGTGCATGACCTACATCCTTCAAAGATAGGGCAGAGTATTATTTTCCTAAGGGCAGCAAGGTCTGTCCTCTGACTGTCCTCTGAGGGACTTTATTTCTCACGTTCACAGGATCGACGACTGTTTTTGTGCATCTCGGAAACTGGATGCAGTTGCCACTGAAGCGAAGTTCAAGCAGGACCTGGGCTTCCGGATGCTCAACTGTGGCCGAACGGATCTGGTGAAACAGGCCATAGCCTTGCTAGGGCCGGATGGGATTAACAGCATGAGTGAACAGGTAACAAGACAGAAATGCAAAGAAGAAATGAAACATGAGAGTTTTTTTCTGTTTATCAAAGCAAATGAACCCAAATGTCAACTAAATGTAGGTAGGACCTTAATGCTTTCCCTGCGTTATTTTGCAAAATAGTGAGTTAAATTTGCAAAATTATTTTGCAAAAGTGAGCTAAAGCCTCACTAGGTGAACAACTAAACTAAGTTTGGTCATATCAGGTCATAGTGATTATTTAGAATTTAGGTAACTCAGAGTGAGGGTGAATGTCTCCTGGAATCTTCTTAACAGGAAAGTGAATCAGTTGAAGCCAGGAGATCAGAAGAGAGCTTAGTCTTGCTCTGAATACTTAAAGCGGTTTTAATGTGGGACAGAGCTTTGTGAGGTGGACATCTTCCAAGAGAAACTGCCCTGGGATTTTCAACACACTTCACATACACCACCCCAGCAGGAGAAGGTTAATCGCTGGCACTCTGAGTTGAGCCCTGTTTGAACTGGTCTTCTAGATGTGAAAGCCTCTCTGCAACGTTACCTCTCCATTAGTCTTAGGCCAATATCCACCTACAGAAGAACCTAGATTTCTCTGGAGTTACTTCTCCATGAGGCCAGTGGTTGTGTTGAGGGATAAACCTGCCTCTGCAATTGCCTGCTGGCAGCAGTCTGTTGGACTGTGATGCTGGGGAGGTCATTCCCCATTCCCGTGAGGGCAACAATGGACACAGATATTATGGTTTCCTTTTGAAGGGAATTTCCGTGAATCTTCTGATGCCCCCAGATGAAAGTCATGGTAGGGTTGTGAGTTGGTTTAGTTCCTCTGAAAAGAAAGCTGCTCCAGAGTTCAGGAGCTTCAGTTTGGGTCAGTATTGTGGATTTGTTTGAGAGAAGCTTTAGAAGAGGGCAGTGCTCTCTGCAAAAAATATTGTGTTAGAGAGCCCATTCTAATGTTCAAACATTATACTTTAAAAAAATCATTATTATTTTAACTTAGTCTGAATCTGGAAACTTTTTGCAGCATATTTCCTCTGTCCTCCAGGCTGAAAGCTGGAAACATTCTGCCTTGATGAATCAAAGTTCTTAATCACATGCTTAACTCTGAACACATGCTTACATCCCATTTGAGTGAAAGTTTTCTTATATCCCTCCCTGAACCAGATATCCCACATCTTGCAGGACAGAGCCGGAAGTTATACAAGGCTGAAAGAAAAAGAGTCATTTTTATTTTGCCAAAACCCTAATGTGCCCTAGTGTTGATTTTTCATGTTGTTACCATGTCCCTGTGTGCACAGAGTGGTAATGGTGGGCTCATTAAAATCCCATTCCTCCCATGTGCAAAGAGAGTGGTTTGAGGGATGCTGAAAGGCTGAGCTGCAGATCAAGGCTGGAGATAGGCAGGAGGGACAGCAGTGCAAGAGGAGTGGAGTTTGGAAACACTGTAAAACCCTGATACCACAGCATGACATTCAGGGCCCCTTTTTGTCAACGGTAAGTCTCATCAGTTTCAGTGGGTCCAGAAGCCATATGTGACACACAGGAGTTGCCATGGGGCTCCTGGCTGTGCAAATGCTGGGTCATGCAGGTTTTCAAAGTTGTGTGCTAAATGCTTGATTTGATCATTGACTGAGACCATTTAGAGAATTTGAAATAATAATTTAAGTCACCTTAATTTTAATCCACCAACCAGTCACTGTGTTTCAAGGCTCAAGCAGTTTTTTTTGTAGCTCTGGTGGACTCATGTTCTCTGGTACTGTTTATTAACTACCAAAAGAAGTATTCTGCCACTGATTGTAGCTGAAGTTGTTTCAAATTCTCCTTGCAAATAACTTCAAGTCACCCATACCTGTCCTTGCCTGGGATGAAGTTGTTTCTTAATAACAGAAGGAGGCTCAAATTTCTTGTTCCCTTTTGCTGTATCTCCAAAAGCGTTCTGCTCCTTGCATTTAAAGGGAACTGTGTCTACCTTGCAGAAACAAACCATAAGTTTTATTTTCTCTACAGTCCTTCCACATGCAAGTGCCTGCTACCTTCAACCCAGTGTGCAAGCAGGAAAAATGGGTAGTTCAGCAAAAGCAATGGTATTGGGCTCTGGACAGGAAGAGCAGTGGCATGGCTCTGTGTCTGGCCATGCTGGGCACCTCCTGTGCCTCTGAAAATAATTTCACTTTGTGGCAGCACTCAGATTAAACAGTGAACCTGCTGCCAGCTGACTGGAATTTTACCAGAGAACCTTGAGGGAGGCTATAAACACACATCAGAGGTAGCCACATGCTGCAGTAAATGTAGTGCAAAACAACTGGTGGCTGTTGGTCAGCATCACCTACTGTATTTAATAAGCAGCCTTTTCTATTATAATTTATGGTAGATTTAATGATTTTTTCATCGTTTCATCTAGATGCATTACCACAACCATAATAATACTTATCTCAAGGGAGACGGTGACCAGGTGCTGCAGGTATTTTAGACTAACACAAATTGTGTTCTATTGTGAGGGGTCAGTTAATCTAGTTCTCCTCCAAACAGGGACATGCCTTCCTAGAGACAGCAACTGTTTAGCATTTCATTTAAAGTTAAGTCTTTGTTTACCAGAGAGTGCAATACAAAGCATTTGCATCTCCAGCCTCTTATGGTATCCATATGGAAAAAACTTGCCCAAATTTACTTTGTCATAAGAGGAGCTTTGTATGTTTTTAAAGGCTCTGTCAGTAATTGAAAAGTTAGATTTTAAGAAACAGTGATCATAGATAACTGATCAAGATCATCATTTTTTAAAACTATCAGTGGGTGTATGGTTGTTTTGATAAGAACATTTCTCCGTGGGGTCCCACAGAAAAGGCAAAGATGCTGAGTTTTGTACATAAACATGGAGGTGAGGCTTACAGATGCTATTTCAGTGGCTATATTGAGAATGTCAAGGGTAACGGGGAAACAAAGCAGCCAAAGTGACAATGAAAATGGAGATTTTACAAAATGGTTTGCTTTTGTTAGTCTGAGGGGCATGACTGTAACAGAGGTAATGGATTTCATTAAATACATACTGTTAGTTTTAATGATACATACTTAACTAATTATTTTTAAAAAATCAGAAGAGTTCTGTGTTAAATTTGTCAATTCCTTTGTTTTTTAACTCCAAAAAATGACTAGGGCATGACTCCACTGATGTATGCTTGTGTCAGGGGTGATGAGGCTATGGTGCAGATGCTGCTAGATGCTGGAGCAGATCTGAATGCTGAGGTGAGGACTTTTTGTTGGTTGTATCTTTGTTCTGTTGTTTGTTGACATCTTAAACTACCCCCTGAAACAGTAGCAGAGGGAAAATCCCAAGAAATAGAGATAAAATTATCTTTTCCTAGACAACACCATCTGAAATGTGTGAAATCAGACTGCATTAGGTTAACATTTGGATTCACTTTTCAGAAAGGGTCAAGTCATCGGACTTACCCCACAGGTAATTAGATAGTTGTATTTACATACTGCAAATGAAAATGGGCATTAGCATTAGCACAGAGCACAGCTCTGATAGTAATGGAAGACATCCCTGAATCTCAGCTGAGGAAAAATGAAGAGGGTAATAGAAATGTCTGTCTGATAGCCTGGTACAGCTTGTGCGTTTGTATGTCTTGGGATGTTCCTTCTAAGCATCCCCAGCACACAAGTGCAGTGTCCCCTGCTTTGTTTTATGAAATGCTTTGGTCTGAAAACTGAGGAGCTTGAAGCTTCCAGAATATTAATGTCTCTTTGATGAATGCACATCAAAAACTTACAATCTGTCCACCAAACAGATTGTGGTCCGACTCAATGCAATGCAGGTATGTACATTTTTTAAAAAGCTGTTTGAAAATCCACAAGAGAATTATTTGTTAATGGTTCCAGTTTCAATTTGTGGAGGTCATGAGTAAATTAAGCTGTCTGCTTCACTTATCTGTGTTCCATCTGTTCTGTTTGGATTTGAATGAGCTGATAAATTGTAGGTGCTGCTTTCAGCCAGACATTTTGCACTTCTAAAACATTGAATTTAAAAGCAGAAATAGATGTCACCTGTACGTGACTGATAGCTGTTACTATCTTATTGCTCTTTGGTGTCTTGTGTGAAATCAGCTGATGATTCCTCATGGAGTCCACTCTCACCTCTTCCTTTCCACAATTGAAGTGAGCTGCCCTCGGATCCAGCGATAACTGAGCATTTGAACCCTTGTTTGCACTGTAGACAGACAGACCAAAGAATGGATGAGCATGGGCTGATCTCTCCTGCTGCTTTGATCCTACAGCTCAGAGCATTATTTAGTTATCACTAGGAGCAGAAATCCTGGCCCTTCCAATTGGGCCAGTAATCTTCCAGACTTGAACCAAATGTAAATTTAAACAGTTTTGTCTTCCTGAAACTGCTGACATCTGAAAGAACAGCTCCAGTGAGAAATTTGAACCTCCCTGATTCATTTCTGTAGAGTGTTTGCTCTCAAATCAAATGAAAACACTTTGGGACAAGAACTATGAGTAATTATGGTGTGCAATTAGAAGATGATTTGTGCACACCACAACCAACTGTGCAAATTGGGCAATTACGGCAAAAAAAGGCAAATCAACCATGAACAAAAATAAATACCCTATCAGGTGCCTGCATCATTTTTCTTATTTCACTTTGCAAATCAGTTATATATATATATATATTTCCAAAAGTAGCCTCAAATGCTGGGTGCCTCCATTTTTGATTGCCCATGTTTATCAAAAATGGACTCATCTCCAGATGTGCTGAGAAGCTGCAATCCACTTTGGAGTCAGTGGGACCTGTAGATGCACAGCAAATCTCAGTTGAGGTTTTAAAAGCTCTACCACCCACAGGTCTTTTGCAAACATCATGTCAACTGAAGAGACTTGCAATCAAAAGGAGCAAAGGAGTTAAAATGACTTCATTTTCTTTGCCGCTTGCCACAGGCTGCCCAGACAGCAGTGGGAATTCATGCTGGAGGAGGAGATGCTGGACACTTACCTTCCCCTGCTGCTCTTATCCCCCAGCCTAAATCCTTAGGCTCAAAATGCTTGATCCTCTTCCTCCTGAGCAAACCCAGACCTGAAGAATCCCTGCACCTTTGCTCAGACACCAGCAGGCTTCTCCACTTCCACCAGGGTTGCAATGTGCTGGTCTCTACTGAACTGTAGAAGAGAGAAGGGCACTTCTACCCCCTCTCTTTGGCAAATCTGAGTGATGCAACCAGGCTTTGGTGCAGATCCACTTTAATTGTGGGATCTGTACAGACTCCAGATTTTGTTCTCATCCCTTGTTCTCAGGATCAAGGGCTTGGTTTGATGCTTCTAACAAAATGCTGCATGTGGTGCTTGGAAATGTGATTTGCTCATGCAACTAAGCATTTAATAACTAGCTTTGCTCCCCTACATGGATAAAAGTATGTCAGACAAGTTAGTGAAAGCATAGTTGGCTGATAAGACAGAGGTGAAGCATCTTTTACTCTTGATTTTAGTCCCCATTCTAAGATGAATAACAAGATTTTGAATTTTAGTATCATACTCCATCTGAGTGTGTAAGCTCAGATTGCAAATGTTCATTAGATATTTCCATCTCTGTGAACCTCATCAATATTAATATCCCCATCTTTAAGACAGGGAAACTGAAGCAGAGAGTGGTTATTCATCTTTCCTACATTACTGCATTAGAGGAAGCAGGAACAAAACCTTAGAAAATGGAAGAAGCAATGTAAAAAAATACCACTTTTTCTGAGAATACAGTTTGCATCTCTTTTATCTGAAGCCACCCTGCTCTGTTCTAACTCAATTCAGACAGGAGAAAGCAATAAAAAAGACTTTTCTTAAAATATCTGTGAAATGTCACTGCCCCATCAGTTCTCAGCTGTCATTTGCCCTCCAGTGGAAGAGGAGGAGCCTGGAAGCACTTCTGGAAAACTCCAGGGCAGGGACTGTGATTTGTCTTCCTTGATGTCAATGACAGAAGTCATACCAGTTTATGTGGAGAGAATTCCTTTGGGCCTGAAGCAATTCCAAGAGCTGGGGCTGTGGATACACAGTCTGCAGAAGTCAGTGGGAGTGGTCCTTAGCCATAAGCATCCTGATTCATCCCTGCTCCCCTAGCGTGTGCTGCTGTAAACAACTGTGGATGTTTTGACCTTGTGCAAAAGTGGTGGCCAGTGGTTTAGATGGAGCTACAGTAGTTGGTAAAAAGACTTCATTTGGTATAACGCTATTCAAGCTGTCAAACCAGCATGAACAGTTTTAGTATTAAGAAATTTTTTTGCTGGAAAAAAAATGAAAACAATCATTTTCTAAAGCACCTTTCCCAGGTTTTCTATTTCACTTACTCCCTCACGTGCCTGGCTTTCAGGCAGGTTGATTTTATTACACTTTTTAAAAAATAACTTTAATTTGTTTGTAGGTTGTCAGTACTGCTCATAAATACCCATCCGTCCACCCTGAGACCCGCCATTGGACAGCTCTGACATTTGCTGTGTTGCATGGACATATTCCTGTAGTTCAGGTATTATTGTATTTCCCTACCTGCATCTCATTCTTTTTTTTCTCCTCTTTAGTTCCAATTACACCCATCTCAAACCAGTATCCTCTTGTCATACTCATATTGGTTACTTCTGCTTCTTCGAGAGTGTACTGATATATAATAGACCTATTATATAACAAATACGGTGTTCAAACCTTAACCAATATGAGGTTTAAATAGGACAATTTTAAAGCAAACTTGCACCAAAGAAAGTCTGACAACTCCTTGTGCTCCTTCCTGACCACTTGTTTTGTGTGTTTGTCTATTCATTCATTACACTTTCTTACTCTCTAATACTCTTAACAAATACCAGACAGCTGCCTTGGTGGGGAGAGGCAGACAGCCACAGCCATCGCTCTGTCCCAAAGGGGGAGAAGCTCTCAGTCTCCTTACCCGAGCAAGGCGTTGCGTGGGATATGCTAGTTCTCTGCTTTGGCATCTTAAAGTCAAGAAGGTTTATTCTTCAAAACAGCTGTGTCTGTGGCACATGTAACGAAGCTTTGTTAAAACTTTGAAAGCCTAAAGATATAAATGGCCAAGAGCGGCTAGAGGGCAGGCTCTATCCTGCTCTCCTTGGCCACTTTTGTTCTCAGCGTTGTCACTATTCATGTGGATGTGTACCCGATGGAAACCACAGCTTTTGGATTCATTGCTGCGATTTGTTCTTAATGATTGCCTTTCTTTGGCCATGTCTTTATAAAAAAGATGGAGGCAATTGAAATCTGTTCCATTTTAAGTTGGTCCTCGGCTTCTAGAAGACCACAAAGGAAGGATGCTTGTTGGGCTGATATTCAGTATTTCCATCTTCAGTGCATTACTTCCTAACACCGACCTTATTTGCATTTCCCATTCAAAAACACTTGGTTACACTTTTTTGGCTCTGAGCTTGGACACCAGTGCTCCTGGTGTCTGGCAATGTAAAATGAGCGAAAAAAGGAATCAATTTGCCTCTGTAAAATAATGGGCAGAACTTGCATGTCACTTGTCTCCATTGTATCTGGTTTGCAGATAATGAGAAGCATTAGACTCTCATTCGTCACTGTTCATGAACTCTTGAACACTGTGGCTCCCCCAGTTGCTCTAAATGGTGAATTTTCTTTCTAGTTGTTGTTGGATGCTGGAGCAAAAGTAGAAGGTTCCTTGGAGCACGGAGAGGAAAACTACTCTGAAACTCCTTTACAGTTAGCAGCAGCTGCCGGTAAGGACTTTCTCCTCCCTCTGTTATAAATTCTTCAGTTGAGATCTGTGGTTTAGATGAGTAAGCAGTGGGTTTTAAAAGAAGTAAAAGTGCCTCTCTTGAATTGCAGGAAATTTTGAACTGGTCAGTTTGCTGTTGGAGCGAGGAGCTGACCCTATGATAGGAACAATGTACAGGAATGGCATTTCCATGACTCCACAAGGTGACATGAACTCTTTCAGTCAGGCTGCTGCGCATGGACACAGGTAGAGTGGGAACAAGTCTAGTGGCATCCCTCACATGGTTGTTTTTTTTCCTGGGAGTCTGGTTTGAGCAGATGGGTGAAAGTTCTGCATGAACAATCAAACAAGCCACCAACTGAGCAGAGATGTAAGGCTTTTTGCTAGCATGTGAATTTAACCAGTTGGTGGTACAACCTGCTCTTTTGTATCTGATTGAAAAAAGAGGAAGGATACTCCTTGTGGTGTGTTGCAATGTGATGTTTGTTAAATAGTAGCTGATGTGATGGTGGGAATGCCAAAGACATTCCTTCTGAATTTCTTGACATATTTCTGAGGTTTGGGTTGAATTGTGATTGTACTGCTGCAGCCTTTGTTGTCATCGAACAGAGTTTCTGCATCTGTGTTTACTGTAAAGTCCTGTGTGCTTTAATGTTGTCTGTATGCTGCAATTTTTTTTAAAGGAAGTAATGAAATGAGCACCTGGCATGCATGATCTTGCAATGTTCAGGAGTTTACTGCAGTGTAATGGATTAGTATTATGATCTTCACGTTCCTGCTTTTCTGATTGTAGCCATCCAGAGGAACATAGATACAGGTTAGAGACAGTACCTACCGTCTATTTGCTTAGAGAAGAGCTGCCAGTGTAACAACATGCTCATGGCATGTCAGGGTGGGTTCAAACAACACTGCCCATCTGGAGCCTGCAAGGGATATCTGGGAGGACAGGCAGGACAATTTTTACATTTATTGCTCAGGCCTTGGTGCCAGCTCCTCTGAGTGGGAGCCACGTGCCTGAGGAGAACTTGAGGCTCTCCAAGGCTTGGCTGCTGCCTGTTCACGTCACAGACCCACAACTTATTTCTAAGAACTGGCTCTTAAACTCCAACTTCTTCACTACCCACACTGGCTCCCTTCTCCTTCCCTCTCTCCCCAAACCAGCATTTGTTTGATACGCCCCATGGCCTGCTACCACCCCATGCCAGGTTCCAAGCAGTTGTGGGGAGGATGTCGGAGTATGATGGAGGTGGGATGGTGGCCAGCTTGGCTTTTCTTATAGTTGTGGAAACCAAGAGCAACTCCTTTGAGATTGATGAGTTTATGCTGCTATGAACCTGAAGGTACCAAGTGTTTGGCTGAATTTGGTCTTTGGTGTGTCATGGCCCGGATTTGATCACCCAGCCAGAGCAGTCCCTGATGTGCTTGAACCTGCCCTGGCTGGCCTTGTTGAAATGTCTAGTTGCTCTAGCTTTCCCAAACTGCTTTGAGTGTTAATTGAGTGGTGGTGCTTTCAGTAGCTCCAGACAGCTCCCTTGTCAAGTGGCCTTCTTCTCCTTCCTTGGTGAAAGCCTTGAGAGCTTGTCCTAAGGCAGTTCAACCTTAACCTGATGGTGGGGCAGGTTCCAGAAGTCATGAGACACGTGAGAGTCACGTTTAGCTCATGGGTTTGTGTTCCCACAAAGTTCCTGCCATTTGTTTGACATCTGTATAGTTGCTGTCATTACAGCAGCGTCTTGCACTCGTGGTCTGGTGGGTTAACAGGTGGGCTATCAGGAGTGGTGCTTGCTCTAGGACTGCTGTAAACTATTCAGTTAATTGGAGTAATTTCTGACCTGCCTGCTGGATAAGTGTCCCGCACCAAGTATCATCACCACTAACTACTCTCCTGCTCTCTCTTTCCCTGTCTCCCTCTCTTTGTCATGCTTAATTGCCAGGAATGTCTTCCGTAAGCTACTTGCTCAGCCAGAGAAGGAGAAGAGTGATATCCTGTCGCTGGAGGAGATACTGGCCGAGGGGACAGACTTACCTGACTCTGCAGCAGCTCCGCTTTGTGCCAGCCGCAACAGCAAGGCCAAACTGAAAGCCCTGAAGGAGGCCATGTACCACAGTGCTGAGCATGGATATGTGGATGTGACCATTGACATACGGAGTATAGGTCAGTGCAGGTGCCCTTGCTTCTCTGCCTCATCAGAGATACCACTGTAAGAAATGTGTCTTTCATGTGCTGCTGCTTAAACTGACCGCAGCTGCGCCTCCTGAACTTCTGTGGAGGTGGTAATTTGCAGGGGGTTTCCCAGCAGGTTTGTGGGTGAGGATGGGGAAGGTAAGTTCAAGCCAGCCCAGGCCTAAAGCCAAGGCTCTCAGAGCTTCTCTGAAGCCAGTTAAGATTGTTGCTGCCTAAGCAACTGCAAAATAGGGCAGCTGCTTTTTATGTCAAATCGTGTGTGCTAAACACACTGTAAGAGCAGTCCCTTATTTTCCATCCTTCATCTGGAACGTGATAGGGGATCCTGCAGGTTCCGGGGCCATTTTGGCTCCACAGCATATCCTGCGCTGCAGGGCAGCATAGTTTTTACCAGCAGCCATCTTCACTCCTGCTTGGCAGAGCGTTAGCTAAGTCTCTAGGGCAGTGTTTGTCTGCTGCTTCCAACAGCTTCTCTTTTGCACTCTGCCATAGTGCAGTCCACAGTTTAAACATCTTTCTTTTCCAAGGTTTATGAGCCTTTGAAGGGAAGAGCAGTGAATGGCTTCTCTGTGTGCTAACTGTGCTAGTATGGGGCTTGAGCATTATAGCAGCCTGTTTGGAGTCTGCTTCTTCTCATGACAAGAGTGGTCAGGAACAGGGGAGGAAATAAATCTGGAATGTGTTTGTCCATTATTCTGTGCCCGATCTCCATTAATCTTCCCCCAGAGAGAAGGCAGCATGCCTCCTGTGCCTCCATGCAGTGCAGCACTCCAGCCCTGTGCATGGGTCAGGGTGTGCATTCTTGGTTTGCCAGGTGCAAACTGGGCAGGCAAAGCTCTAGGTGCTGAGTGAGAGGAGAGAACCAGAGCTGCTCTCAAAGTGCCGGGCATTTGCTGAAATGGAAGGAAAGTAGTTCTGATGCCAAGCCCCGGGCTTGTGTTTCCTCCCACTCTGTTCTGCAAGAACAGAAACTAGGTCACATCCAGCCTAATGTTTGGAGTACTATATTAACTTTGTGTGTTTTCTCATTCAGTGCAGGGAAACATTTCCCTTTAAGTTCCTAGAGAGTGGTTCTGCTGTGACAAACAGCTACTTGAAAAGGCTAATCTCCTTAACTCACCCAGTGCTGTTTAGGGGAAATAGCAATGAGCAGTAGAGGACATGGGATAGGGCTTACAGAAAATTGTAATCTGAAGACCACCAGTTTGAATACAGGTAGGTAGTGACCAAAATCTTTTTTTTCCAGTCAATGGCTCTCCAGGGCCACATTTGAAGAAATGAGCTCATGTAAATCTAGTTTCCAAAAGGTTTTTGTGTCGCAGAGCACCACAACAATTACCTCAAATTGGCAGTCTCAGCAGAGAAGCTGAGGGCTAGATGAGCAAAGAGACCACAATCTTCCCTTAGCACTTGGAGGAGAGTCTCTGTGTATTAGGTCTGGGACATCTTGATAACCACCCGCCTTCTCAGCTGTGGTAAATAGGAATTTTATTTCTAGGGTTATTTGGCAGTTTTTGCTTAAAATCTGAAGATTAACACAAGTGAAGATAGAAATAGTAGAAGAGCACATCTTACTCTGGAGCTGGGAGTAAGCTCTGTCCTCTGTCTATAGGTGTTCCCTGGACACTGCACACATGGCTGGAGTCCTTGCGAACATCATTCCAGCAGCACAGACGACCCCTCATCCAGTGCTTACTGAAGGAATTCAAGTCCATTCAAGAGGAAGAGTACACAGAAGAGCTCATCACACAGGGGTTGCCTCTGATGTTTGAGATACTAAAAGCCAGCAAGGTAGGATAAATTATGTATTCTAAAGAAATCAGCCTCATTCTGATCCTGTACAACAGAAACTGCAATAATGTTTTTGCACTGTGGTCCCAAAGCTTGTTTAGAGCTCTATAGGATTATTATTTTTGTACTGTGTATCTCATTTATCTTTACTGTGGAATCATGGGTTAAAAACACGCAAGCTAATTACATCTCCCACTACAACAGCTTAATACTGATGCTAACAATGAACTGAGGAGACAGCAGGAGCTAATGCATAGTGGTGAAATTAAAATCACAAGGGTTACTGCAGCACAAGAGCTGCTGATAGCCAAACCAACCCAGAGACTAACTTTACCCAGCTTGTTTTACAGCACCATGCAACAAAGCTAATGCTCACTTTTGCTTTGGATTTATTTAACCTCTCACATTATTTTCTCTTCTCTTCATGTGAGATTATGGCTTCTAAACTTATGAGGAGATGGGTTTCCATGAGAACACATGCAGAATGATACGTCAGACTAATAAAACCTTTTGAGGGAGGAAGGTACTGTTAGGTATGTGAGTAAAACAGCAAAGAAGAGACGATCATTGAGCAGGAAGGAGAGTGAAGGTTGGTTTTTTTCTTAGTGGTAGAGTACATGTTGGTACAGTTTCCTATTTGTTAAACTGGAAAGTAACATTTCTCATCCAAAATCCACACGCAACAGCAAGGAGCAAGTATTTTTAGCACCTACAGCAATAACCTAAATAATGTGAAAAGAAGAGAGCTCTGGTACAGACTCTCAATGTTAAAGGATTCCAGGCACAGTATAGTTAGTGAGAGCCTACATGGATTTGTTGTATACTGATGCAGATGCGGGCTTGGAGTACAGTCCTGAGCAAGTGCTGAACATTTATCCCACCAATTGTTCTGATTTCTGCTCCCATGAATTTTTCCTTTGGGGATAGTTTGAGGTTGGTTTGTATTGCATGGGTATTTATGGAGAATATTTAGAGATATCTTTCAGAAAATCATTCCAAATCCTCGGATACACGTTCATCCAATAACTGACAGCAAGGTGCTGTTTGTTTTGAAAGCTAATATAAAACTAATTGTATTGGAAAACTTAATGGAGATTAAGTTTGGGCCCTATAATCTAGGATGAGGGATGGCTTGAGCTGCAGTTCTCCTGTGTGGCTGAAGCCAAAGCCAATTGGTTTATAGATGATTGTCAGTAGAATAAGTTATTTACATAGGATTGTACCTTTTGGAGATGGTTAGTCTGGGTCATCTGGAGTGTCCTCTGGAGACATGGCAGCCAATGAGACTGCTACCTTCTGCTTTGGGTTCACTTAAAAGCTAACATGAAGAGGAGTAAAGCAACGGATACATCACACACACAGAAAAAGTATGATAAAAAAAGTCGGTGCTGATCTTCGTTCCTGCCTCTGGACCTAAAGGAGCTGCCCATCTTCACTCTTCGTGAGCATGCATATTCACAACCACATGTGCTTACAGTGCTTCATATTCTTAGAAAAATAATGAATCATTCGGGGATGCTGTAAGGGCTTACAGATTGTCTGCAAATGGCTTGAATTCTTGCCATAGTCTTGCCTAAACGATCTCCCACAAAGCTCTTAGAGACATAAATGAGGGCAGACTCTGAGCAGCTCTCTAGAAGGAATCAAAATAAATTCATTTGCAGGAGAAGGAGACAATAAAAGTTCTCCCTGGTCACTCCACGTAAGTCAGACAAGGAAAACAGATTCAAAGGATCCGCTCCTCTGGGAATGCTGAGAGCAGATAGTGTTCTTTGTATATACCCACAGAAGAGAAATCTCCTTGAAGAGGTACAGAAGGGCTGTAGCTGTGGTTCATGGCCCTCTCTTTCTGCAGTGAATTATAAAGTTTTGCATTGTGTGGAGTTGTCAGGAGAGGATTTTGATTTGTCCATGTGGGCATCCTTTTTCCTGTGGGCCGGGAACTTTGAGATTACAACTGTTGCTAGACATCACAGTATGTCCCAACACATTTCCTTAATGAGCTTTTCAGGGCAAAAAGTATGTAATAGGCAACTAGAAAGCACAAAGCCACTTAGTGCTCTCTGGCTGATGTAAAACAAGATGTCCCATTTGCTACACATTGTGATGCTCAGTATATTTTAATTGCATGACAGCTCGTACCTAATTGAAATGGCATTTCACAGTCCTATAAGTAGTCCCAACTATCCTGCAGTCTCAGAACAATTTACAAATATTAATGAGTTGAGATATGGAAGAAGATCTTAGCCTCCTTTTCTGAACAAGGAAACAAAGGTAATTAAACAGGCAGATTTTCAATGCCTTACAGAGTTGCAATCTCAGCCTCAGAAGCTGTGACAACCTGGCTAAGCCAGACATCAGTTTATAATTTGAGTAATTGGCTTGAGAGACTCTCCAGAAATTGCACAGAAACGTAGATAATATCTCTGAATAGGAAATGGGTCTTCTATCCCAGCTTCCACTTGCAGTGTAGGACAGAATGTTCTTACTGGTTCACAGGATATGAAGAAAGGGCAGATATTGTAAAAATGAAAAGACTAAGGAAAAAGTACTATTTACAAGGACATGACCAGCTAAAAGGAATGCCTTTTGTCTTACAGATTATTTTTTTTTAATACCCACACCTAGAGGGTCTTAGGGTCCAAATGTGAGAGCTTGGATGGGATCTCTGCCACCACCACTGATGGGAATGTCCTGGAGCCCAGTAGGTTGGCATTTATATGACAGGATGATGTAAAGAAAAACAAAAATAATATTTTCTGAAGCTCTGGTGCTGGAACACAGAGCGGTAACAAGAATTAGCAAGTCAGGCAAAACTGCCTGAGCTGTAGTTCCTAGAGTTACTGCCTCTCCTAAAGCTGTGAAATAGGAGGGGAAGAACAGTTAATAAATTGCATTTTGGTCAATCACCACTGCACTGAAGCCCTGGGGAAAGACTTCCAAAGGCACAAATGAGGATTTGGTACCCAGCCTCCTGGTGGCGGCCAGTAGGACTGAGCACTTTCATTTCCTTTCATGCCTTTAAATGTTTTTATCAGCTGCTCTGCTCAGAATTGATTTGAGAGTGGAGGAATGAAGTATTTCCATGCAGCTGAGGAAAAGCTACAAGAACAGGCAGATGGCTTTGCCCCCTCTGCTGTCCTGCAATCAGCCCGGATCCTTGCCAAACCAAAGACCAGGCAAGGTGTTCCGGGGGAGGCAGCAGTGATGGAAGGGACTTGGAGAGCCCTGTTTGGGGCACTTCCCTAAGAGAAGGCAAAATTCTGATTTAAAACTTCCAGTGAAGCTGTGTAGTTCACTAAGGGGATTTGGGCCACTGGATGAGGAGGAAAGGCTCTCTTATTTTGGGACTGACTGGCTCTCTGAGGGAGATGAGCTCATGGACAGTCTGCTTAAATTAGTTTGGACAGAGCTGCATGTGACAAAAGCTGGAGAGACTTTTCTGGGAGCAAGTAGCCCTGAGCTAAACTTGGGCTGCTGTAGAGGGCAGAATTAAGTCCCTCAAAGCTAAGATGACATTGGAGATCTTGTAAAAGAAGGTGCAATTGATTTGCTGCCTGTCAGTATCTGTGTCACATTCTTCATGGCCTGAGGAATCCCTCCAAACTTCTTACAGGGCCCTCTTGTTTGCCTGTAGCCAAGGCTGATGTTTGCACTGCCTGAGCTTGTCTCTGAGCTGAATTGACATCCTGCCCCATGTCATAGTGCCCCATATCTGCTTGACTAGTGACTGTAATTGTGGGCTGGTGGCAGCACTGAGTTTGGGCCCCTCAAATGAGAATATAAGAAGAGTCTGGTGGAGGAAGCACTCAGATTTATGGACGTGTAGTGCTTGAGGTGCGGCTGGCAGGTCAGTCACAGGCAGGCACAGGGATCTCAGGCCTTACCCTCGGGCACAGAGTAGGCTAACTGCATGTAATAACAGCTAACAGCCATTCTTGTAAGATGGTGGGCAGCAACCAAAGGGAAGAAAACCTGCGGCTGTCCTGCACGTCCACATGCATATAGAATCACTGAATAGCTAAGATTGGAAAAGGCTTCTCAGATCATCTAGTCTAACCATCAGCATTTGGAATAGGTTGGTTCTAGATGTCCACTCTGAGGCTCAGTGTGAGTTTACATTGTAATTAAATCAGCCAGCTTCATCCATGCAGATGGGCCAGCTCCGTCAACAGCAGTACTGGGTGGTGAGCCAGTTTTGTCCACTGCTTTTTCTGTATGCAGCAACTTAGATCAGATTGTCTATGGCCTAGTTCTTGGAGAAAGAAAATAATCTTTCAATTTCAAGTAAACTCTTGCACAGCCTTCTCCCTCCCACCCCTGCTATGGGCATGGAGCTGCTATTTGCCACTTCTTTGAATACTCTGGGGGAACGTATTGGCAAAGTTTGTTAACTGTACATAAAGTGCACATGCTGAAATGTTCTATGAAGCCCCGCCTGGCTCTGGAAGAGCTTTATACCAGGAAACCTTGGCTTCGTACTACAAGCATTGCTGCTAGTGTATCGCCCAGGGCAAAAACGACTTGAAAAATCGTGGTAGGTCCTTCACTGCCCTTTCTCTGTAGCGTTTAGCCTTCCCATCAGGTTCTGTTAGTAGTTTATTTTCAAAAAATAGCTCATTAGTGAGGTGTTGATTACACTGTGCATTAAGACTTGATGAAAGATGCAGGAAACTGTTTGCAAAGGTGTTTCCTCAGAATTTAAAATTCCTGCTGAGCTTCACACACACTCCATATGCATCTGTAGGCAGCTGAAGAAACCCGCAGGAATGCACAGTTATTTGGAAAGTTGAGCTGTTTGAAAAACAGCCATCAATACCATGTTGACAGTTATTTAGAATAAAGAACAATTTAAAACAGTAGCCAGTTTTTAAAAATTCTGTAAGAATTCAGGCATGTAGGTATCTTGAGAAACTTTGGCCTATTTAATTTAAAAGCCAAAGCAATCTCTAACCAGTGACTTTGTTGTACGTAATACAAAATCTCCTAGAAAGTTAAGT